TGGCCAGGTTGATTTAGTTGGGATTGGCCCTGCCTAGAGCAGGGGGCTGGACTTGATGACCTTCTGAGGTCTCTTCCAGCTCTATGATTCTATTGGGTTTCCACCTGCACCTCAAGTCACTTTGATTGTCTTATAGAAAGTTATTGACACCTACATGGAAATATAAAGTCCTGGGTATATGAAGCAGCTGCTTCTCCCTGATAATCCAAATTCTCTCTTTATCTGGTCATTAGAATTCTGTTTCAACCCTATTCCACAAAGGGTGGTATAAAAGAAAAACATAGTGGGCAGTTTAAAAGAAAATTAGTGACGTGACTTCTTGGACTGGGAATCTATTTGTATGTTGAGACAGAATTCTATGTTTTGTTTACAGTATTTTCTCTTCTGTCCTGATCTGTGCACCAAATGTATGTACTGAAGTGAGGCACTATCAAGCATGCAAGTTTGCTAAGTAATTCTAGTTTAATGAGATTTAAGGAAGAGTTAGAGCTATTTCTGTCTGCCAAAGGGCTACAATCTATATTAACTCAAAAGGTTAATGATATAAGCTTTGTTTCCATCTCTCATAGTCCAGGCTAAATCTACCTGAGCTTGTTGAGAAGCTTAATGTACTGATGTATGTAATTCTTTGAGATTATGTGCTGCACCTCTATACATAGCTGAGTTTGAATGACTGGCACCTTCCTGAGCTTGAGGCCAGTAGCAGAGCAACATAAGATGACTGCATTTCAACCCCTTTCCCCCTCTGGTCCCCCCCCCCCCCCCCCCCCCCACAACCCCACCCACCACACCCCCCCACACACACACACACACACTACCCCAACTGATGAAGTTGTTGCTTGAACAAATTCTAGCCAAGAATTTTGAATAAAAGAAAAACCCACTGGGTGTTTTTCATCTACAGTGAAGGCACTAGCTAGAGCAAAATATTACTGATTATTTTAGAGGTTTGCCAGCTAGTTGTAACTGGTGGCATGGGGCTTTTGCAATATGCTACTAGCTTTGGTTGCACTGGTTTTCATTATAGCTTTGGCCAACATTAAACTTGATTAACAAGTCCCTGTTCTTTGTGTATTCAGAGCATCTGCTCACTTCAGTAGCTAAAGTTTATATTACAGCTATTCCTACAGAGGTAAGTGAACTGGAGCTTTCATGCTGTACATTAGTAACAATTGTTAAATTCTACCTGCAAGGCCAAATTCTCTTTCGGGTTACACCTGGGCAATAATTTAGAGAATGTGTTGAACATGTATAGCTGAGGGCACAAACTAGAAAGAGTCCAGCATAACTTTTTTGGATCCCAAACTGACTCCGCAAGTTTAAAATCAAGTGTGCACATCATTTTCTTTGCAAACTTATCTGACTTGCTGTGAATTCATTGACACACACAAACTATGGTTAGTAGCAAAACTGGAGAGAGAGTCTTTGAAACAAACTGCCCATTAATGTGACATGGACATTTCATTTCTCATAGATTTTTACACAGTAATTGAATGCTGATCGTAGCCCTGACCTGGAATCTGGAGAGCTACACGGTTCTTGAGAATACTTATCAACCTGCACTTTGGTTTTTAAAGTGCTTTGAAATGGTAAAATCTTATAGACAGCAGACAACTTTTGTCCTATTAGCTAGACATTTTTCATCTTTCATTCTTTTGAATTATGGTTTTGATTATTTATTTTCAAGTTGTAATGGAATTAATAATAGGGATGTAATAGCGTAGCCAGTTAAACGATTAACCAACAAGCCGTGTAAGCTGGTATTGAGCCAGCCTGACTGTGTTTCAGCTCCCAAGCTCCCTTGGGGTATGTCTAGACTACAGGCTTTTTTCAACAGAGGCTTTGTCGAAAAAGAGCTAGACTACAGCCAGTTCTGTCGACAAAGCAAGCTGCTTTTTTTTTTTTAAACAGAGTCTAGACGCTCTCTTTTGAAAAAGCAGTGTGGATGCAATAGTGCCTTTTTTCAACATAACTCTGTTGAAAAAAGGCGTTATTCCTCGTAGAATGAGGTTTACTGCCATTGACAAAACTGCCGTGTCCTGTTGACTTACTGTCAACAGAACTCGGCGGTAGTGTAGATGCAGGTATAGTTTTGTTGACAAAAGTCCACTTTTGTCAACAAAATCCTGTAATCTAGACACACCCTTAAATACACAACAGCTTATTGGTTAATTGTGTAACTGACAATTTTTGTCAGCTACACGATTACCGAATTACACACTTTCTAACATAGGCAAACATAACTTGCGGTAACTACAGTGATGGCCCTTTAGACCAACCCTAAAAAGGGAAGTGGTGTCCTTTGGCCTTGTTGGATACTAAAGATCCCTTGGTCTTCTCTAGAAGTGATAAGATGAATCTGGTGGCTTTGGCAAAAATTTGGTCTTCCCTTGGGCTATTACTTGTGCAGTGAAGCAAGTGAGTTCTCTGTAGCTATTGATGACTTCTGAAATCAAGTGGGCTAAACTGAAATGCAGAGGTGTTTTCAGGGTCAGGTTACAGCAGCAGCCAAGATTCCTACCATATCCGATACAAAATGGTGAGTAATGTCTGCCCACTGCTTACCCTGAGGAGTTTCCAGTGCACCTTGCATTTCAGAGGAGGTTGCATTTCAGTCATACTTTATGTAAATACCATAATGTATAAAGTGCTTTGGGATCCTTTAGAGTGAAAGTTGCTAATAGAAATGTAAGGCACCACAGTCCTGTTATTAAAACCTTATTCTAATTTATGGAAAATAAAATGCTCTTTTATAAATGGGCTTCAGGAAAACTTCCTTCTTAGTTCCTGTTTCAGTATCTTCTTCCCATAAAAGAAATAATGTTCTGCAAAATTATTTTCCTGTGCTACAGGACCACTCATTTTGCACGGGTGTGGTTGTTTTTTGTTTGCTGTTTGTTTTTTAAATTCCAGATTAACATGGCTACCCCTCTGAAATTACTGGTGTATAGTAGCTAGCAGGAGGGCAGAGTTTAGTATAACACTTGTGCTCCTTAGACATATATGGTTGGAGCCTGTTGGTAGAATTTCCCCACTGCAAGGCCCTCTGCTCCAGAATTAATTCCCCAGTTGACCTTCAGGTTATGGTGTAGGGCCCCTATCACATGCTTTTTCTTCAGTGAGGTTAATATTCAGTTCATTCTGTGGTATAGTTTTTGTGGACAGTCGATTGTTAGTCCTGATTGTTTACATATTGTATGTAACCCCAATACTATTTTGTGTTAATTACATTTTATAAACTAGTACAGGCAGTCCCCGGGTTACATGGATCTGACTTACATCGGATCCCTACTTACAAACGGGGTGAGGCAACCCCGCACTAGCTGCTTCCCCCCAGCAGACCAGGGAGACACGGAGCGGCTTTTCTCAGCAGACACCTCAGCTTGAGAATAAAGGACCGAGGGAAGTGAGGTGTGGGAGAATAAAACTGAGCTCTGGAGAAATGTTTGGCTAGAGTTTCCCCTACAATATGTACCAGTTCCGACTTACATACAAATTCAACTTAAGAACAAACCTACAGTCCCTATCTTGTACGTAACCCGGGGACTACCTGTACATGCATTTCATCAGCTAATTGTATTTCAGATAGAAATGTAATGACAGCCATCCGTTGTCTACCATCCAGCAGCTGCTAACAATAAAGTTCTTCAGGGTTGGGGGTACTTTTTCATAGAAAATGTGGCACACAGAGTCCTACTGACTCCCCTCAATACAAGCATGGGTGATCTGTGTGCAAAAGAGAAAGTAACCAGTTCACTCTGTTTAGGCCTTCCACAATGATCAGTTGTTAAGTAATTCTGAGATCACTATCTGAGTAAGACACACCTATGCAGGTTTCTACCTGTCTTCCCTAGCATAAAATTGTTACCCAGCAGGTTACAAACTGTATGTGGTAAAAAGTTAAACAATGCTGGAATTCAGATCACAAGCCTTAACACCATACAGTTGAATAACAGACTCCAACTGGTTTTTATCTAAAGGGTGCATGTCTGGACTTTGTATTAACTAACAATAATGAGATAATATATAGTCTGTGCACTTACACCCACTTCTTTTCTTTATTTGGTGTCCTTAAAATTTATCTGTAAACTTTAATCAGCACTAAAGCTTAATGTTGGTGGGCCAACTTTGGAAGGATTTTTATGCCATCTTGAAATTTAGATGGGCAATTACAACAGCCTTGTATAAGACATTTAGAAACCTGAAAACACAGCTCTCTCTTGCCTCAATATCACCTTTGCCATTTTCCATTTGCAGATATCTGTTTTCTGCCCCATTCATGCTTTTAAATGTACACGTTAGTCCAGTATTTGTTGCATTTGGAATCTCTTGATCCAAAATCAAACTTCACAATGGGCTGAGACCAAAGGATTTAGGTGCTCAACTTCCACTGAATTTCCTTTTTCTCATTGTGTAATAGTTTGATCTGTAGAAATGTATAGCAGTTGGTGAGATTTCTCAGCGTGTGACTCTCACTCTGGGACAGCAACATGAAGGCAAAAGCATTGTTGCTCCTTTATTGTGTTGTATGTTATCAGTGTACAAAGACTGATTTTAATTTCCTCTGTGATCTAGAAAAAGGCATACAAGAAAATACACTACTTTAAAAAAAAACCTGCCTTCCCTGATTCAAATTTATTGACTGATACTTATTTGAATAAAGCTTAAAAAAGTGGATGCAGCATGGCCAAGATTTTTAAAAATTAGTGCCTAAAGTTAGTCTAAGTCTATATTTAGGTACCCCTAGATAGAGCCTTAATTTCAGAAATGATAAGCAACTTGAAACTTCAGTGATAGAAATGTAGCCGTGTTAGTCTGGTGTAGCTGAAACAAAATACAGGACTATGTAGCACTTTAAAGACTAACAAGATGGTTTATTAGGTGATGAGCTTTCGTGGGCCAGACCCACTTCCTCAGATCAAATAGTGGAAGAAAATAGTCACAACCATATATACCAAAGGATACAATTTTAATTAAAATAAACCATCTTGTTAGTCTTTAAAGTGCTACATAGTCCTGTATTTTGTTGAAACTTCAGTAGATGTCATGCTTTTTGAGCAGGGGAGATGGGTTTGAGTCACAGCACTACTAACTAGCAGGTCATTAATTAAGTTGCTTAAAATTGGATTTGGAAGCCTAACTTTAGGTAGCCAATTTTGATAGTTTTGGCCTATGTCTTTAGAGGTCACTCTAAGCCTAAAATATGGCAAGAATATCTTGTCCTTTAAGGTATCCAGTTGTTCAGGATCCCTACAGTTATTTGCACTGCTGATCCCAGGAAATGAGAGAAACCAGAAGTGAGAGACAATATCTTTAATTGATGTTAGTCTAGAAAAAGATATTACTTCAATCCATCAGTCTCTCGTAATCCTATATCTCTTTGTGAGGAGAAAATTTATACCACATACTGAACACTCTGGACTCTTGATAGATTGAATATTTTATCTTTTACACCTCTCCTTCCCAACTCTCTGCCCACAGAATGGCTATTTCATATCATTTTGTGGCTGAGTCACCATTTGGGTGCGTCTCTACCATAGGGAGTTCTATGTAATCAGCACTGCAATCTTTTTGAACTTTCACTGCTCTGCATGTCCCTGAGGGCAGGTGTTGTGCCAACTCAATGTTTAACTATTGTGTCACAAGCATAATTAGAAGGGAAGGGAAAGGCAGGGCAGGAAAGGGAGGAGAAATCAGTCCTCTTTAAAAACGTCATGCAGAGGGAAAGGCTGGAACTTCTTAATTGCTTCCCAACGCACGCGCACACAGAGGCTTCCTACATGGCTACCAGGACTCAGGATATGAGTGGAGTATTAAAGGAGGGATTCCTCATTAAACGGGTAAGAACACAGGACAGGAATTGGTTTCTTCCATAATTACAGTTCTTTTAAAACTGACCTTTTTAGACTGACTTGACTTTTATAACTGACTATTACTTCCAGAGGTGAAAGTAGGGGGATGTGCCCCGGTGCACGGCTCCGGCAAGAGCTGGCTGTACTGTAGCAAGAGCCAACAGGGATCTATTTAAAGAGCTGGCAGGGACGGGGACCTAGGTTGTGATAGGGCAGTACCTGTAAGAACTTTTGTCTAAGGTGGATGTATTTATAGAGTTAACCCCCCTGGTTCTAGTTCCTCTTGAGAACACTAAGCAGCAGAGCTCTCCCTTTGTTGGAAAATGTTTAAATTAAATATTTCACTATGGGGGTGGAGGGTTGACCTGAACTGGAATATTTCAGATTGTAAAACTGCCCCCCAAAATTTCATTGAGTCATTTCAACATAAAAATGAATTGCCTGAGTAATGTGTAGTGCATGATGGGAGTTATGGTTCAGACCCCATTCTCTTCTTTGAGATCGAATCGCTGGCCAGTTTACATTGCCCATCTTACAATGAAGCTGCCCTTGGAGGAGTGTTGTGTTTCATGGGTGTGATGTGGCTGCTATTGTGATAGGGTTTTTCAGCCACGCATCCTTATTCAAAGGGGAGAATGAGAGTATCAGATGAACTGAACAAGAGCCATCCTAGGGGAACACAGTTGAAAGTTGAATTGGTCAGTTCAAGAAACTAAAATGAAACACTAATTTTGGGAATCTTGAAAAGTTTTATTTCAATTAATATTTCACCTTCTTGTTCTATGTGGAACAAAAATAAATGCTGAAATAGCACAATTTCCTACTGGATGGAAATTCTAATTTTCATTCAGCTCTACCCAGGAAGCACAAATACATCAGAGTAGCAGTGAGTCTGCCCTAAGTTCAAGTGATTAATTTGTACCAGGGCTGAACCCTGCCATGTTTAGACTCTGGCCCCAGCAACTCAAGACTTGCTGCATCAGTTATGAATGCAAAAAAATTGCTTGAGTCCCATAATCTCTTTCATTATAAATTAAGCACTGCCTGATTGGGTGTAGCAGTGATTTTGGTATTAGCAGGGGAGGGAGTGGGTGGAGAACCTCTTGGGTCCAATGGTAATGTAAAAGTGAAAGGGTTAGGAAGATCTAACGGCAACAGATGGAAAGGCGAAGGGAAGGAGCGAAAAAGAGGAAGGAATACTAAGTAGAAGAGAGAGAGGAGATTGAAGGAACAGGGATCAAGAGAAGTGAACAAGATACTTAGTGGGGAAAATGGAATGGAGAAAGGTAGTGGTTCATTAAGGTGAAGAGAGGAAAACAGGAGTGAAGGACTAAGAATAAACATAAGGCAAAGCCATGTAAGAGACATGGGAAAATAAACAAACGAGAGAGACTGACTCACTTAAGGGGGATAAAAGAAAACAGCCAGAACGGATAATGTTTACTAGAAGAAAAGTAGCTGAGGGAATCTATAGGCACTAAAAAAAAGACAGACAGAATGGCTGTGTCTAGACTGGTGAAAATGGCGATCGGGGCTTTCTTGCGCAAAACCGCGTCTAGATTGGCACGGACGCTTTTCCACAAAAAGTGCTTTTGTGGAAAAGAGTCCGTGCAAATCTAGATGCTCTTTTCTGCAAATGCTTTTAATGGAAAATCTTTTCCGTTAAAAGCATTTGCGGAAAATCATGGGGAGAGAAGGAGAGGGAGGGAGGAGAAAAAAATGGAGTGAAGGAAGAGGGAACAAAACCGACGAGTGATCCAGCCAATTAACTTTTTTGCTTAGCATTCCGAGATGTCTTCAGGTTTAGTCAGGTTAAAGAGAACCACATTACACCAGTTGTTATAGAAATTGTTAAGGTTCCTGCCAACTCCTAATAAATTAATGACCCTTGATTCCTGCAGTGACTGGACTTTCTACATTTTCCTATCTCTGCCTTACTTGCCTTTTTTAAGATGGTGAAGCCTCCACTAGCTGGGTGCTTCACATACTTTACAACATACTTTCATCTCCTATGAAACATGTAAAGTCAGCTCCACTGCACCATAAACTTGGAACTGCCACCAGAAGACAAGATCAGATTTGTCTGTGCCACTCCTCTGGGCAAATTCTCCTTTAAAACCAGCTTTAAAATGCCTATTATGCACACTACTGGCTCACAAAGGTTTTTGTTTGTATCCTAGCACTGTAGCCCAGGAGCTTTTGGCAGTTTAGCAGCGGAGTTGGGATGAAAGGGATGCACAGGAAATGGCAGCATTGTGAGCAGTTTAGTCACTGAAGATGAGCAGCTGGTCTGTTATGACTAAGCACCAATTAGCATTATGGGAATGTAAACAAGAGAGTTAAGCTGAAATGTACTCATCAAACCGCAGCCAGGCCCTACTGCTGCAGGCAGGCTTGATCCTTGGAGGTGCTAAGCACTCTGAACTCCCATTGACTTCAATTCAAGCCTTGTCTACACTAAACCCCCTCATGTCACATTCATCTAACCTACGCAAATAGCATTGCTGAAGTTGATCTACTTACCACAGTGTTGTCTATGCAGTAAGGTCAGCAGGAGCTGTTGTTTCATTGACTCCAGCTAGTCTTCCCAACTTGGTGGAGTACCGGAGTTGACAGGAGAGTGCTAAGAGATCAATTTATTGCATTTAAGGTAGATGAGATAAATCATCCACTAGTGAATCAATCTCTGCAACACTCATCCACTGCATAGGGAAGAAAAGCCCTTGGACTTACAATAGAGTAAATCCTATCCATCTCCCTGTTCCCAACACTCCAGACTCGCCTGCAGAGTCCTCTGAGTCACTCATCTGCTTCAAGCTTTTGCCATGCTTGGGAAAGAGCAAAACATTGCATCTTTTTTGTCCAATGATTCTATAAAAGCAGAGGATGTATGTTAGCTTGCCATTTTGTAGCTTGGTAGTGGTAAATGGATACATTTCCTGTTTGTTTCCTCTTGATGGGAGAAAGGGCTGCGCACAAGGCAAACAACAAATCTGACAAAAACAAAAGAAAGCTCTTATGATTTCAGATCACTTTGAGATTTATACCGGTACTGTCTTTAGTCTTTGAAACTATCCCAGCTACCACTAGCAGCTTTTTCCAGATTTGTGTGGAATCCAAGCAATCTAACTCATAAGAAATGCAGCCTTGAATGTTCTCAAAAGATGTCCAGTTCAGAAAACAAAAGTTCCCAGCATGCATTAAGGGCTTCTTAGCAAAGCTTTGGTTAAATGATTTTGGGCATTTCTCAAATTCCAGGTAATGGTCTACTTGAAGGAAGTCTATTGCAGTCTCTCTCCAGATTTATTAATTGCATTATAACAACATACATAACCCTCATTAAAATGAAACTCCTAAAATATGTCTGCATATAACAATAATAAGAGTGTTACCAAATTTCTGTGCAAAAGAGCGGTAGGCAGATGAGAAATACTCCTTGAAGCTTGTCTTTAAAATAACCTAGGAACTTTCTTTTGCTACAGGGGCATATTGTCCATAATTGGAAAGCAAGATGGTTTGTTCTGCTACAGGACAAGCTGCTGTATTATAAACTTAATGGAGGCAGGAAGGAGCATTCTCCTAAGGGCAGGATAATTTTGGATGGTTGCGTTATCACTTGCCCATGCCTGGAATATGAGAACAGACAGGTATGTCTGGAAATATTATAACCATTGTTTTCCTTTGCAATGACTTTTTTATTCCTTGTTTCTCCTTCATTCCCTTCCTTGTGTTTCTCTGTCTTAATTCCCTTGACTTCCTCAATCTCTTTCTCTGCATGCCTCTCTAGAACTGGAACAGCTGATGCTGATTAGCCTTTCAGCCAATAAGGCCAGGTCAAAGTAAGTGTTGCTACTGGATTTCCTTATTCTGTCTCTGATGATTTCCACGTCTGGGGCTACTGGCATGATTTTCCAAAAATGCTTTTAACGGAAAACTTTTCCGTTAAAAGCATTTTCAGAAAAGTGTGTCTAGACTGGCAGGATGCTTTTCCACACAAGCACTTTTTGCGGAAAAGCATCCGTGGCCAATCTAGACGCGCTTTTCCGCAAAAAAGCTCCTATCGCCATTTTTGCGATCGGGGCTTTTTTGCGCAAAACAAATCTGAGCTGTCTACACTGGCCCTTTTGCGCAAAAGCTTCCCTGAGCGGGAGCGGGAAAGTATTTGCGCAAGAAGCCCTGAATTCTTCCATTAGAACTCCACTGCTCATGCGCAAATTCAGGCGGCCAGTGTAGGCAGCTGGCAAGTTTTTCCGGAAAAGCAGCTGATTTTCCAGAAAAACTTGCCAGTCTAGACACAGCCTGGTTGTTTTTCGCTGAACACTCCAGCTCACAGGTACAATCATATTACACACACACACACACACACTGGAGGGGAAAATTGGATATGGATGAAAATGTAGCAGCCCTGCAGGCACAGCAAGAAAGATACGAACAGAACTGTAAATGAGGAGGGTGAGAAACAGGAAGAAATATGTTTCCCTCTTTTTCCCTGATGGTTGCATTTAAGCTCTAGCTGTGGGTTTTGTGGGGTTTTTGTTTTTTGCCTTCTCTGAAATGAGAATCTTGGCCAATAGCCACCTCAGTGTGCCACTTCCTTTTATTTATTATCTAATAAGAATTTGATTCTGTTCATAGAATCATAGAAAATTAGGACTGGAACGGACCTCGAAAGGTCATCGAGTCCAGTTCCCTGCCCTCATGACAGGACCACTGTCTAGACCATCCCAGATAGACATTTATCTAACCTACATTTAAATATCTCCAGAGATGGAGATTCCACAACTTCCCTGGGCAATTTATTCCAGTGTTTAACCACTCTGACAATTAAGAACTTTTTCCTAACGTCTAACCTAAACCTCCCTTGCTGCAGTTTAAACCCATTGCTGCTGCTTCTATCTTCAGCGGCCAAAATGAACAAGTTTTCTCCCTCCTCCTTATGACACCCTTTTAGATACCTGAAAACTGCTATCATGACCCCCTCAATCTTCTCTTTTCCAAACTAAATAAACCCAATTCTTTCAGCCTTCCTTCATAGGTCATGTTCTTTAGACCTTTAATCATTCTTGTTGTTCTTTTCTGGACCCTCTGCAATTTCTCCATATCTTTATTGAAATGCGGTGCCCAGAACTGGATACAATACTCCAACTGAGGCCTAACCAGCACAGAGTAGAGCAGAAGAATGACTTCTCGTGTCTTGCTCACAACACACCTGTTAATGCATCTCAGAATCAGGTTTGCTTTTTTTGCAACAGAATCACACTGTTGACTCATATTTAGCTTGTGGTCCACTATAACCTCTAGATCCCTTTCTTCAGTACTCTTTCCTAGACAGTAGCTTCCCATTCTGTATGTGTGAAACTGATTGTTCCTTCCTAAGTGGAGCACTTTGCATTTGTCTTTATTAAACTTCATCCTGTTTACCTCAGACCATTTCTCCAGTTTGTCCAGATCATTTTGAATTATGACCCTGTCCTCCAGAGCAGTTGCAACCCCTTCCAGCTTGGTATCATCTGCAGACTTAATAAGCGTACTTTCTATGCCAATATCTAAATCATTGATGAAGATATTGAACAGAGCCGGTCCCAAAACAGACCCCTGCGGAACCCCACTTGTTATGCCTTTCCAGCAGGATTGTGAACCATTAATAACTACTCTCTGAGTATGGTTATCCAGCCATTTATGCACCCACCTTATAGTAGTCCCATTTAAGTTGTTTTTACCTAGTTTATTGATAAGAATATCATGCGAGACCGTATCAAATGCCTTACTAAAGTCTAGGTATACCACATCCACCGCTTCTCCCTTATCCACAAGACTCGTTATCCTATCAAAGAAAGCTATCAGATTTGTTCATGATTTGACATGATTTGTTTTTTACAATCCATGCTGGCTGTTCTCTATCACCTTACCACCTTCCAAGGGTTTGCAGATGATTTCCTTAATTACTTTCTCCATTATCTTCCCTGGCACAGAAGTTAAACTAACTGATCTGTAGTTTCCTGGATTGTTCTTATTTCCCTTCTTATAGATGGGCACTATATTTGCCCTTTTCCAGTCTTCTGGAATCTCTCCTGTCTCCTATGATTTTCCAAAGATGATAGCTAGAGGCTCAGAAACCTCCTCTATCAGCTCCTTGAGTATTCTAAGATGCATTTCATCAGGCCCTGGTGAGTTGCAGGCATCTAACTTTTCTAAGTGATTTTTAACTTGTTCTTTTTTTATTTTATCTTCTAAACCTACTTCCTTCCCACTAGCATTCACTATGTTAGGCATTCCTTCATCAGACTTCTCGGTGAAGACCGAAACAAAGAAGTCATTAAGCATCTCTGCTATTTCCAAGTTTCCTCACTGAGCAGTGGGCCTACCCTGTCCTTGATCTTCCTCTTGCTTCTAATGTATTTATAAAAAGTCTTCTTGTTTCCCTTTATTTCTATAGCTAGTTTGAGCTCATTTTGTGCCTTTGCCTTTCTAATCTTGCCCCTGCATTCCTGTGTTGTTTGCCTCTATTCATCCTTTGTAATTTGTCCTACTTTCTATTTTTATTGGACTCCTTTTTTATTTTTAGATCATGCAAGATCTTGTGGTTAAGCCATGGCGGTCTTTTGCCATATTTTCTATCTTTCCTATGCAGTGGAATAGCTTGCTTTTGGGCCCTTAACAATGTCCCTTTGAAAAACTGCCAACTCTCCTCAGTCCTGATTCCCATGGGACCTTACCTATCAGCTCTCTGAGCTTACCAAAATCTGCCTTCCTTAAATCCATTGTCTCTATTTTGCTGTTCTCCCTTCTACCCTACCTTAGAATTGTGAATTCTATGATTTCATGATCACTTTCACCCAAACTGCCTTCCACTTTCAATGGAAAGTTGAAAGTTTCTAGAGCATTAAGTCCTCTCTATGTCTAGCCACAGGTGAGCAGCAACAATGCAACCTTCCCCTGACAGACAGCAATCAGTGTTAAGACTATATATATATCAGTGCTAATATATATATATATATTGCGGAGTCTATATTTCAGTAAATCCATTGTGAGAATGATTATAGCAATGGCATTCAGCTATAATGTAGAACAGATTAGAACCATGGGTGAAAGATCCTCTTCCCAGTCATAGACTCTTGTGTTATCTGGATAATCTCTGGCTAATCTACTTTCTTGAATACACTGGGCTCTGGGCAGAAAGCTATTACTAAGAGCTAATTGACCCCCACCCTGGATCTGAACTGTGACCACTGTCCTTCTGGCAACAAACGTATCATTATTCCCTGCAGAGACTGACAAAGTTCCTCATGTGGCTGATGGGATATCTATTGAGTGAGCATTGAGTGAGCATTCTGTGCATGTTAGATAAATGCTCTTACTTTTCTACTATTCTGTCCATAGCTAGTCATTAAGCTGAAGACAAAAACCAACACAGAATATTTCCTTGAATCTTGCTCCAGAGAAGAGCGGGACTCTTGGGCTTTGCTGGCCACCCAGCCCAGGCACAGCAGCTTCACAGAATGAAAAATTCCTTCAAACTTCCCTCAAACATCAGCCTCAAGTAAGTGTAAACATTTCCTAACCAGTCCTAGGATACTCTGAAATGGAAGGTGTTGAGTGACACATCTGCATTATGGGACCTCACATGGGATGATTAGTCCATTTCCCCTACATACTGTTTATAGGTGCTTCATGTTCCACTGCATTGTAGCAGAACTCATTCTTGAAACATCCTTGAAACAACTCTCCTCAATTGTAGCTTTAGGTTATATGACACAGTCCCTGCTTGACTGTCTGTTCATCCACCTAACACTGTTCTCTTTTGCTCTTTTATAGCCACATAGTGGACAAAATGCATGACAACAGTAATGGAATTAAACTGACCCCCAACACGGAACAAGGCAACACATACAAAGAAAGCTTTACAGGTAGATACATTCTGAACAATCAGCCTCCCAAAGCCGGACACTGTGCTGCAGAGAAAAGGCAGCCACTTTGGAATTCTTATGTGAGAACAGATCATTTTTATACAAGAGATTATAGCAAATAGTGTACTTTCCCATCTATGCCAGGCCTCGAAAAGTTCCTCAACTACCACTTTATATCCTCTCTGTAGAAAGAGAAAAGCAAATGCAGAACCCTGCACCTTTGGTGAACCCTATTTATGCTTGACATTGATATGTCTTTACCATTTTGATAAAGCTGGAATTGGCCAGTTAGCAGGGATTTATGCCTGTGTGTCTCTGTGATAAGCAAGCATTTTGTGTGTCTCTGTCTGAGAGTTGCTTTTCTTTTTCTAGGTTCTGCACTGGTGGACTGGCTGATCTCCAGTAATTTTGTTGCCTCTCGATATGAGGCTGGGACACTGTCTTCCATGCTGATAGATGAAAACTTCATCAAGCCTGTTGGAGCCCGGAGCACTGAAGCCATGCGCAATGGTGATCTGTCTGAGCAGTTCCTAGATGACTCCACAGCACTGTACATGTTTGTAAGTAATGTGGCTTCTAGCAGTAGGCTCTCCCATCCCCTCCTGACTCAGATTTCCTTTTGTCTGGTAAAGAGATTGGGGGGAACACTGCATATGCCAAATGATAAAATATATAAAAGGTGAAAACTAAAATGAAGGGCAATTTAAATATGAGAAGCTTTGGGTTTTTTAATACTTCCAACGATTTTACTTCCCTCAGATGTGAATTACTAAATTTTGGCTTTGGAAGTATATCCAATGAATCTATGACTCTAACTGGGTGCAGCTGAAGTCCCTAGAGCTAACTGTGCTTGCATTAATGATGGGCAAGCTGAGGTTCTGCTAAAAATCAGGACTATTGTGTGATGTTTTGTGTTTATTCATTTTTCCATTGTACCATTACAACTGATGAGATGTTCTGTAGGCATATGGAATGAAAGCTATATCTTTGGGGAAAAGAATGTGTTTAATGACAGGTCTGCAGAAGATGATACCAGTACAAAACTTTTCTGTATAGGCTGAATCTAGATTGGCATGATTTTCCGGAAATGCTTTTAACAGAAAAGTTTTCGCAAAAGCTTTGCGCAAAAGGGACTTTTGCCTGAACGGGAGCAGAATAGTATTTCTGCAAGAAGCACTGATTTCTTACAGTAGGAAGTCAGTGCTTTTACAGAAATTCAAGCGGCCAGTGTAGACAGCTGGCAAGTTTTTCCAGAAAAGCGGCTGATTTTCCGGAAAAACTGGCCAGTCTAGACACAGCCTATACTGTTTAACATTCATCAACTTAACTTAAACTTTTCCAGTGACCACTTTTTTCCATTTATAGGCTGAAAGCTCCAAGAGGAAACTCAGCTCCAAGGAAGAACTGAGCCTTCACATCCTTGAATTAAGTGGAACAATTATAAAACAAGGATATTTAGTAAAACAGGTAAACATTGACATTTGATCATCTCATCTCATTAAGGAGAAAACTGACTGTAGCCTGGCTAGCTCAGTTGGTAGAGCATCAGAGGGCCCAGGATTCATGTCTCTGGTCAGGCAAAGGGACTTTTTTATGACCTCCTGAGGTCTCTTCCAGCTCTATGATTCTATGATTCTATTTAGTTGGGATTGGTCCTGCTTTGGGCAGCGTGCTGGACTTAATGACCTCCTGAGGTGTCTTCCAGCTCTATGATTCCTTGAGTTGTTCTCTGGAATTCATGGAAGGTGAAATTAAATGCTGAGGGGCACTATGCTTCCTCATTATCTGTCCTAACCTCTCATGTGACCAGCAGAATTAGCTTTCATGTTAGGAATACTACAGAGTAAACAGCAAGGTTGGAAATAAGAAGAGAGCCTATTTGTTGATATAAATAAGTGAGCTGTGGAATTCACTGCTGAGGGATGTTACTAAGGATTATAAAATAATTTCCTGAACAGCACAGGGGTTCTGTCCAAAAGCCAAATTCTATCCTGAATAATTACATTCACTTTCAAAGCGATGCACTGTTCTTCCCTATTGCCTACACTAATTTGTCATGTGGTGCTTTTAAGGAGCTGTTTTGTCCCTTCACTGAGATGGCGGCATTTCAGTACTGAGTGAAGTAATCCTGTATGTGTACCACCTATTCATGCCAGCAATTATTCATGCCCATATAGTTGCTCCCATTGACTTCAAATGCGAACAGTCTGCAGGCTCATGCTCTTAGTTTGTAAATCATCGTTCATGTTACATGCTAGAAACAAGCTTGCAGTTAATCCGCAGGTTTGAGAGCATAAAATGATCACCCACTCTGTTTGGTGAGAGGAATCCCACTACATGTGTTGCTGTTAAATGTTCTGGAGTTGTATGTGAAGCATTGGTCAGTGTGGGTGATCTGGTATTAAATGCATCTTCCTTTCTACCATGCTTTCATTCATACCATGAAAGAAGGAGTAAAGCAATCCAAAAGGGCCTGGAATCCCATGAATTCCCAGAGAACTCAGAGGGTATGTCCTAGACTACATGGCTCCGTCGACGGAGCCATCTAAACTAGTTTACCCAGCATAGTCAATGAAAGCGGGGATTTAAATAATCCCCACTTCATTAAAATAAACATGGCCGCCACGCTGTGCCAACGATCAGCTGATCCGGCACAGCGCGGCAGTGTAGACACGGATCTGTCGCTGGGGAAGCCTTTGCCGACCGATCCCTTATGCCTTGTGAAACGAGGTTTACAGGATCGGTCGGCAAAGGCTTCCCCAGCCAACAGATCCGCGTCTAGTCTGCTGCACTGTACCAGATTAGCTGATCGTTGGCAGAGCGTGGTGGCCATGTTTATTTTAATGAAGCGGGGATTATTTAAATCCCCGCTTAATTGACTATGCCGGGTAAACTAGTTTACATGGCTCCCAGAGTGAATAGATTTGAGGACTCCAAGATAAGGGACAAGAGTTAAATAAATTCACCTAGATTCTTCCCTTCTTTCCCTTTAAAATTATTCTGTAGTAGCGTCTATCCTAAAAGAAAAAAGAAATGTGTGCATATCCCTATAGGTGTAAAATTGCTAAATACAGGTAGATATGTGCAGCCGTGCACTGTCCTGGGGAAGAAAGTTCATACTGTGG